CTTTGCCAAGCTTGTTCCAAGTAGGTGCTTTAGACCACTGAGCCATCTCTCCAGCCCCATGATGAATGTTTAAATTTTAAAATGTATTACCATAAAAGACATATTGCTATTAGTGCCCTTCAAAATACTCCCCCTTGTTTCAAACACATTTATTCTATCATCTGTGCCACTTCCTAAAGTGGTTATGGAAGTCCTCTTTCATTCTTTACCAGGTGTGATAAAAATAAAAACAGTGCTGGCCATGGTGGCACATGCCTCTAATCCCAGCACTTGGGGAGCCTGAGGCAGGAAGATCATTGTGAGTTTGAGGCCAGCCTGGGCTACAAAGTGAGCTCAAGGCCAGCCTGAGCTGCATAGCAAGACCCTGTCTCAAAAAGACAAAAATAAAAATAAAATAAAAACACAGTGAATGCCACTACTGAATATCATCTCTTTTTTTTTTTTTTCCAGAACCGGGGATTGAACTCGGATCCTTGCATTTGCCAGTCAAGTACTTATTCTACTGAGCCATCTCCCTGGCCCCATACTGAATATCATCTAATCCCTGGATTTGAGAAGTAGAGGCAGAAGGATTGCTACTAAGGCCAACTTGAAATACATAGAGAGACCCCATCTCAAAAAGCCGAAAAAAGGGGTGAGGAGAGCAAGATATAGCTCAGCACTGCACTGCCTTCCTGGCAAGTGCAAAGTCCTGAGTTCAATTCCAGATATAAATATAGATAGATAAGATAAAGACAGAGATATATTCAAAAAGGAAAGAGACAATCACCCAAATGTGCATCAAAAATGGACTAGATAAATATCATATACTAAACTCACACAGAATTCCATAAGAGAGGCAAATACATGAATCAGATCTCCACAATGCAGAACTCAAATAGTATGATAATGTTTACATAAGCATTATACTTTATATTGTTTAGGGGTATGTTCATGTCTCAGTAAAGAATGAATTTATGGGGATGATAAACCCCAAATTCAGGAGGCAGATTCCCTGGTCAGAGATGGAGCACAGCTACGTGCAGGGAAGGGCAGGGATGCACTTGGGCCGTGATCTTTTATTGCGAGTGGGTGGCAGTATACAGGTGCCACGATGCTACTCCTTCTGTCTTCTCCTACCTGAAATTGATGGAAATATATTTCAAGGAGCTGCATGCCACAGGGGGGCTGCTTGGGCTCATGAGGAATGCAGGGTCCCCAGCTGTTTGGACCCCAGCTTCTGTGCAGGGCAACTGAAAATCTGGGATCCTGGCAAGGGTGTGCCTGGTGTGAGGAAGGGTGTGACAGGTGTGGGAGCTGACAGCTGATCCCGGGGGTCAGTTCATCTGTCAGCTTGCTGAAAGCAAGGGGTCTGGAGGCCCCCCAAGATATGAGCCCTGAGGAAGGCAGGGAGAAGCAGCTGCACCCCAATGCACACCCTTCTTTGTGGTCAGCACACTTTCCCACTGCTGCAAAGAGATGTTGTGGTCAGCCCGCCTGTGGCTCTGACACTGAGGCTGGGCAGACGGAAGGAACAGGCTCTAGGCATGGGCTTCCTGCCCCGTTCTACACACAGTCAGGTTCACAGAAGACACGGGAGC